TTTCTTATCATTGAAAGTGCCATTTGCACATCTTATATATTCACCACATTTCTTTCCATTCATTTAAGTATATATCATTAAATTCATTATTTACCCATTCAAATACTTTCTTTACATCATGTTTTCTTTCATTTAATTCTATTATATTCATTAATTCATTAAAATTAATCTTCTTATAAAATACTTTCTTCATTCTTTTAATTATTCCATTTGGATTTTCTTTTATTATTTCTATCATTTCTCATATTCATATGTTTGATATTTGTATTTTAAGTATATTCTTATTAATTCTTTACCACATTCATCTCTTGCTGACATTAATCCTATTCCCAATTCATTTATTTTAACATATAATCTACTTTTTGGGATATTTCTACTGTATAATTGGAGTTGTATCAATGATTTTCTTATTTGTTTATCTATCTTCTCCAATTTTCCTAGTTTCCATGGGACAATACAAAACCCATATCTTAATTTGGAGATTATATCACTATTAATCTTTCTTATTGTATTGAGAATGTTGTATTTCATAGTGTTTAATGATGATAGAATAGAAGATACATCATTTAATATTCTTGTACAATATTTGTTGATGTTTATTTTATCTCCTATTTCTATACCAATATATTTATAAGGATTGTCATTAGTTACTCTTGGTAATTCAGCTAATTCAACATTTATTTGACTATTAATATTAGTCATTATCCCACTCTTTTCTACATTAATTTTTAATCCTATTGCATTAAATATTTCTTTAGTTAATTTGTGTGCTTTTTCCATTTCATCGAGGCTATTAGTCATTATCTTTAAATCATCCATATACAATATGTGGTTTAACTTGACTTGTTTTTCTTCTCCATTCATTTTAATATTTAATTTGCTTATTTGTTTATCTAATTATTTAGATAATATGTCAATAGATAACACAAATAAGAGTTGAGATAAACTATCATTTGTATTATTCATATTTCTACATTAATCATACCCACACTTTCTTGATTATAATACAAATTAAGATATGTATTATTTAATATATATAATATACTATTAATTACTACTAGTGGGATATTAAAATAAATCAAACATTGTTTAATCCATTGGTGGTTAATACTATCATATGCTTTGGAGACGTCATAATATGTTTCTACCCACTTCCATTTAGCCTTTAATAATAATTGTTGGATTATAGTGTTGTATAATAATCCTTCTTTTGATGCGTATGTATATTTTTTACATCCAATTTGATTTAATGATAATTGTTTTTCAATTGGATTTAGCATCAGCTGGCTTTCTATTTTCATCTTTAATATTGATGTATACACTTTTAACAGACAATTTAAACAAGTTATTGGTTTGTAATTCTGTGGGTCTAATTTATCTCCTTTTTTATATATTAATATTGTTCTTCCTTGAATAAAATGAATATGTATTTCATTATGATTGTTTAACCATTCATTAAATAATTTTATTAAATACTTCATTGGTTGTTCTAAATATTTATCCAAAATCATTATATTTTATCAACACCGTGTGCCTTCCAGTTAGCAGTAAATTTAATATCACAATCTAATTCATTGGGAGTGATTATACATATTCTATCATTAGTTCTATTTTCAATTAATACTTCATATAAATTAATATTCAGGAAATCTATAATAGTATTAGTTTCATAGATTCCTTTCCAGAAATTAATAGTGGAGATATTATCTGGATATTCATCTTCTTTCGATTTATTTAGATGTTGCATTTTTCCATATTTCATCATTTTATAATTCCATCTTATTCTTTTCAATTTATTCTTTCTTGTTTCTATTTCTATTCTTTTCATCTTTCAGAGGTATTTATAATAGTTTATTTGTTAATTTGTTTTTATTTAATATGATATATATCATATTTCTTAATATGTAATATTCTTTTCAATTTCATATATTGTTTATTATTGAGTAAATCTCTTAATCTACATATTTTTGATTGTATTATTCTTTCTATACTTCTCTTTCCACTTCTTTCTTGTTTATTTTTATTAATGATGTTAATAGTGGAAGCTACTGATTTAATATAATGATAATAATCATCTAATGTATTGATTAATATTTCATTTTTGTTAATAATATTAATTATTTGATGTATTTTCTTCTTATTGTAATAATAATTAATAAATTGTACATCATCTTGTTCTTTCTTTTCTTCTTCTTTAAATAGTTTCATTACCTCCTCTTCTTCTATTTCTTCTTTCTTGTTCATTTTAGTTATTATTTCTTTTAATTCTTTATCATTCCATTGTTGTTTTATTATTTCTTCCTCCATTATTCTATTTATTTCTCTTTTAATTTCATTCTTTATTTTAAATGTCTTCTTTAATATTTCTTTATATTCATTAATATCATTAATTTTAATTCCAAATTCATGTATTAATCTTTCTATTAACTCTTCTTTAAGTTGACCTCTTAATTTTCTTTCAAATAATTTCAAAGCAAAACATTTATAAAGTGTTAAAATTTCTTCTTTTCTATCTGTTTGCTTCCCCCGTTTTTTGATTGTCTAATTCTAATGTGGTGATCTTCTTATGCTGAATATCCATTTCTTCAATGGATTTCTGCGTTAACTTTCTTTTTTTAGAAGATCATCTTCACATGGTGATATTTCATCAGCTACTACCACATTGGGGGAGAGATTATTCACAATTTGTGTTTCTGATGAGTCTGTTATATTGTAATTTACCTCATCTTTCTTCTTTTCTTATTGTGTATTTTTATTTTCTAATTTAGATACTTTATCTTTCAGGAAGAGTAATTGTTGTGTTAAATTGTTTACTTCAAACATTTTCCTTTCAGATTCAGCATGGAATTCAAATATTTTTATCACACTCTTTTTTGTGCTTATCTCATTCTCATGCTTCTTCTTTAATGTCATAATATCTTTTGTTAGTTTATTAATGGTTTATTCTTTTATTTGTATTTCCTTTTTCATTTCTTCTTTCTCTTTCATATCCTCCTCCACTTTCTTTTCTATTTCTTCTACTCTTTTTTTCCTTTTTATTGTTTTCTTCTTCCTTTTCTACCAGCCTCTTCTTCTCTCCTTTAGTAAACCTCTTCTTCTCCTCAGCAAGCCTAGCTTCTACTCTCGTAGATTCTTTATCATTGTCTTCTTCACTTTCAATACTCATTACATAGTTATTGTATATTCTATTGTCTTTAATCTCATTTGGATTGTACTGATTATTGTCTTCTTCCATTGTCATACTAATAGTATCTTCTTCCATTCTTATTGTTTTGGTTTTTTCTCGTGAAAGAAAATATCATCTTCTCCATATTGTTGATAATGTATATTCTTTAATCTTGGTATTTTTAATTTCTTCTACTTCTTGTGGTGTAAGTATTTGAATTTCTTCTTCAAAGAGTTTTTTCCAATATTCTTGGTTTTGTTTTTCTATCATTTCTTTTCTTTTATTTCTGTTTTGTTTCTTATTTTGATATTGTTTGTGCCTTCTTTGAGTGTTATTATGGTATTTGTTTTTCTTATATTGATATTGTTTATTTCTATTGAAGTTGTTATTATTATCAAAGTGTTTATGACGATGATTATGAATGAAGTGATGAGTGAAATGATTTGTATCAACTATGTTGTGATAGTTATGGTTATAATTATTATTGTAATGATTAATGTAATTGTTCATGTATTTCTGTCCATACAGATAATATCCATTTTCACTCATTCTTCTATCATTTATATTTCTTGATTGATATGAATTCTTTCTTCTTTGGTTATTTGTTTTTCTATATTTTTTGTGGTGTCTCGTGTAATGCATCTTTTTTTTCTCATAAAAAAATAAAAATAAAAAATAAAAAATGTGATAAATACAGAATATGTATATATTTATGTTTATATTTTATATTCATTTGTATTCATTTTGTATGAAATATTAATGAAATAATTGATTTGATGAATAATATTTATTTGTATCTATTGTATTTTTTATTATTATGTTATTATTATGTTATTTATTTATATTTATATTATTTATATCATCTTCTTATTATCTATTTATTATTATATTCTTCTTATTTGATTATTTTTATGTTTATATTATTTAGATTTTCTTATTGTTATTCTTTTCTATTTAGTTGTATTAGATTATTTGAATATTCATATTTATCATATTTTATATTATTATCATTTATATCTATTTTCATTTTATATTTATTCTCTTTTGTTTTATATTAATATTAATTTTATCTTTTATATTTTGATTTTATTATTATATCATTGATTATCATTTCTCATTTTATTTATCATTTATTCTTATTATTCTTTTGTTTCTTTATTCTATATCATATATTCATATTCATTTTTCATTTATATTTCATTACTTATTACATTTTATAATAATCACATAACACATATGAATGAATATATAATAAACATCATGATGAAATTATACATATAAATAATAAACATAAAAAAGAGTAAAATATTTTTCATTAATAAAATATTGTTAATCATTTTACACAATTAAATTAGACACTTTTTATTGAATATTTCTAATTTTTACATTAAAAATACACTTTTTATTTCTTCTTTCTTTTCTTCTTTTATCATCTCTTTTGTTTTATTACTCTTTATCTTCTTTATTTTTATATTCTTCTCCTTTCTACTTTTATTCTTTCTTCATCATATCCAACTTTTTACTTTATTTTTATTCTTTTATATCATTCATTCTCTTCTTTTTCCATTATTTCTTTTTTTCGTTACCACTTAATGATTTATAGTCTACCTTCAATAATAAATACATATAATCTTCTTTGAATGATAATTCTTATCTTTTGAAGTTATATATATTAAATACAATTAAATTGAATAACACACAATTTATTCATGTTTAAGTACAAACTATAACACCACAAAGACAAATAAAATACATTCTCTTTAAAAGTATTTTAGATTAAAGTATATTCTAAAATTAGAATGGATAATGAAAGAATCTAACTAATAATTTGTAGATGGAAATTAATTACAAAGAGTTGTACTTTAAGAAGACTGAAGAATGTAAATTGAATCACTGTTCTAAAGAGTCTGTTCATAAAAAAGAGAAAGAATTGAAAGAAAGAATTGTTTTGATAGAAAAGAAATTAGATGAAGCAATAGAAATGATGACAAAGAAAGATAAATTGACAAATGAAGAAACAAAAGAGTTTTCTGAGCATATAAACACAATGAAATTTGAATTAATATCAAAGCAAGAGAAAGAAAAATATGAAACACAAATATTTCAATTAAAAAACCAGTTTTTAATAGAGAAAAAACAGATGATGGAAAAACAACAACAATTAATTCAACAATTATATCAATACCAATGCAAATGCACTGAACTTATTAAAACAAGAAAACAGAATCAAAACCAATTGGAAGAACTTCAATCCCAAATAACACAAATTAAAATGAATAAACAAGAAACAAGTGAATCAGAAGAAATGGGAGAAAAATGGAGAATAAGTGAAAAAAAACTTAAACTTCTTCAAAATGAAAATGACCAATTACGTGTAAAGAATCTAGAGTTGTTGTCACGAGAATTTGATTATCAAACAATTATCAATAAACTCAAAACAAAAAAGGATGTCCCACAAACAGAAAGAATAAATGAAAATGATATTATTGTAGACCATTTAAGAAATGAAATTAAAGAAATTAAAGAAAATTACCAACAACTTGAAGGAATTTTTAATAAAAAGACTAAACAAGTTAAAAAACTAAAAAGTGAAAAAGCAGTATTACAAGAGTCTATAGATGTATTAGAGAGTGAAAATCGTCAATTAAAAGATCAAATTGTCCAACTTCAATCATCACTCAAGAAAATTCAAGAAGAGAATGAAAAGAATGAAAAGATTAAAAGAAGATTAAAAGAAAAAATATCAATTCTAACTGAAACTCCTTGAATCTAATTATTTTCATAGCATTTTTTTGTATAATCTTTTCTTATTATCTAATTATCATATCTCCAGATTAAATCTTTCTCCATAATAAATTCAAATTGTAGGAAAAAAAAGAAAATAAGTATGAGTGAAAAAGTTGGCACAAAGTTCAACAGAAAAATGTTCCAATTAAAAACTCATTTGGGTGTCAAAGAAAAAACACATGACAGTGATTTAAAAACAGCCAAAGAAAGAGTAATACAAAATAAAAAATTATACAAACAAATTCTTCATTGTGCAGAAATTCTTCCAACTCAAGCGTTCACACCAATTGATACTTTAAAACAAACTGCAATTATGGTTAATGATTCTAGAATAGTAGATATATTAAATTCAATTGAGAAAACTGGATTTGAAGAAATAGAACAAGACTTAATTTATCCTTTGAGACAACACATTGAATATTATGATGACTTACAAAGAAGAATTGATGACTGTCATAAAACAAGAATTGATATGGATAGACACAAAGAGAAACTTGAAAGTTTGATGAAAAAGACAGGGAAAGAAGGGAAAATCAATGAATATCAAATCAAATTCGATGCAGAGAAAGAAAGATATTCTAAATTACGAAGTGATATTATCAATGAAACTGAATGTCTAGAAGAAGAACGAATGACAATTGCTAGACCAATTATGAGTAGTTTATTAGTTTGTTACACAAAGTATTTAAATTCAGTATCTAAGGGATGGAAACAAATTGAAAAAGTCATGAAAGAAATCCCACCAAACTTCCAATTCTCTGAAGAACAACATAAAATCATTCCTGTGATAGGAGCAAAATCAGAACAATATAAAAAGGTACAAAGTTTGTACTATTTTGAACCAAATGAAGAAAATGAATTACTATTGAATGAAGGGGATATTATCAAAGTATATAAAGAAGATGGAGAATGGTGGTATGGTGAAAATAATGGGAAAAGAGGGTATTTTCCATCAAACTATGTCAGAATTATCTGAAAAGTTATAAATATGAAATAATTAGAATTTTTTAAGTTTTAATTAAAAAATAAAAACTATATAACTTAAAAAAAAAAACAGTCCAATGTCAAGTGAAAGTACAACAAATGTATCTAATCAACCAAAAGAAGGTAATATAAATGAACGAAAAACAGTTCACATTTATAAATTATCACTTCATACAACGGATGATTCTCTTCAAAAGGTATTTTCTGAAATTGGAACTGTAACAAAATGCGTTATTATTCGAGAACCTATTTCTCAACGTTCATTAAGATTTGGATTTGTTACATATGACAAAGCTGAAGATGCAAAACGTGCTGTTGAACAATTAAATGGTACAGAAGTAGATGGATTTCGTATTTCAGTTGATTTTGCAAGAAGAGAAGAGGCACGAGATAAAACACCAGGAAGATATTTAGGTTCATATTTCAATAGAACAAGAGATAGAAATCCACGCCACAGAGAATATGATAGATATGAGTCTAGTTATTATTCTAGAGATAGATTATATCGTCGTAGAACAGAACGTAGTCGTTCAAGAGAACGATATAGACCAACTTATTATTCTCCACGAAGAAGTCGTTCTATTAGTCCACGTGATTTCCATCGTGATAGATATGAAAATGATGATTGTTATTCACCAAGAGAACGCTCACCAAACAACCATTAATTCAAATTGTATTCTTTTTAATTTGATAATTTCCTTTATTCTTCTACAAAAAGAACTACAAATCACCAATCAACAATGGTTGAATATGAAGTTCAAATTGAAGAAATTCAAGAATATCCTAAAGTTATTGAACCAAATGATGGAAATTTTGTTTATGGAAGTTTTACTAATAAACAACAACCAATAGAACGATTATTATCATCATTTGATTCTGAATTTTATGGAAGAAGTGTAGAATATAGTACAGGAAAATTACTTAATAAATAATTATTAAAAAGAAAATTAAAACAATTAAAATTCATTTAACTTTTAATTGAATGAAATGTTTATTTCATTTGTTTAAAACTAATTGGTTTAAAATGCTTGACCAAGTCCATAAACAGGTTGGACGTATGTTCCTGGAGTTGGTGGAATATAATAATTTGTCATTGGAATTTGAACGGGTTGTTGGACTACTGGTTGATAAGGAGCAGTATGTCTCTGAGTTCTTCTTATTGTTCTATGACGTCTAGTTGATGGACAACAACACTTAATACAACAAACACAACATAATAAGAATATTGTAGAAATAACAATAATAGTAATAACTAATTGTTGTTCAAAGAGAGCAATTTCATCAGCAGGACAAACAGCATAAATATCTTGTGGATAAGTATTTTCTGGAAGACTAATACATTGATGAGTTTTAACATTCCAATAACATTGATTTAAAGCAAGTCCACATCCAATACAACTAGTCATTTCAGTACAATTAATATAAAAACCAAAGTCATATTCATGATTTGTATTTTTTATCATTTCTTTATGATCATTTTCTTCTATATGATAGTGTTTATGATGAGAATGATGATTATGGCTGTGATGAGCAAAAGATAAACATAATAATAAGGAGAAGAGAAGTAGTTTCATTAAAATGAATTAAGTTAGTTCTAGAACAATCAAATAAAAATCAAAGAGTAAAAAAAGAAAAAAGAAAATCAACTTTAAAAAAAAAAAAATTAAATAAAGTTTTTATTAAATGGAAAGAAATAAAAAACAACACTTTGAAGATGTTATTGAATATTCACTTAGAACATTAAATGGAAGAAATAAAGTTAGATTATCACCAGCATTAGCAATGATGTTAAATGGAATGTCACAAAATGAATATGGAGATATTGAAAAAGTAAAAAATATGTTAGAAGGATTACATGCAGTTAAAATATATAATGAAGAAGAAGTTAATGAAGAAGAAGATGTTGATGCAGATGATGTAGAAGCACCTATTCCATTAGATTTTACAAATAAATGTGAATTAGATTATTTAGGAGTAAAGAATGTATTATGTGGAGTTGATTTAAATCATTCAGACATCCATAATAATTTAATTAAATTATCATTTTGTGGAGTATTTGTAGAAAGTGTAGCAAAGACGATGGGATTAAATGGAGAAGAAAAAAAAGTATGGAGTAATTTAAAGATATTAAAACTTCAAAAATGTCAATTAACTGAATTAGAAGAAGTATTTACAAAAGAAAATTTTCCAGAATTAAGACTATTAGATGTTTCTCATAATCATATTAAAAAAATTAAAAGAATTGGTGAAAGACCATTAGATGTATTACATGCAGATTATAATGAAATTCGTGTAGTATCATGTCGTCAAGTAAGAAATTTATCAGTAATTACATTAGACAATAATAGAATTAAAAATTTAAATGGATTAAAAAGATTATATAATTTAAGAGTATTAAGTGTAAAAAATAATTTAATAGATAGACAACCAAATACTTTTCAAGTATTTAATAAAATGTTTAATATTGAACAAATATTTCTTGAAGGAAATCCAACAGCTGAAATGGCTAATTATAAAATTGAAATGGCTAAAGTTATTCCTTCACTTCAATATGGTATGGATTGTTATCTTGATTCAAAACCATTTACAATGGAAGAAAAAGTTCAAGCATTTGCAGAAAATTCAAATAATATTAATGAAGTAATGTTTGATGATGGAGATGATTTTGATTTCTCTCAATTTGATGATAGAAAAAATAGAACTCTTACAATGTCACAACGAAGTGATGCATTTAATGCAGCAAAAAATATTAGACAAAAGAAAGTACAACAATTAGATAGATCTACTTCTATGGAAGGATTAGTTGTTTCAAAAGAACAAATAGAATTAGATCAACAAAGAATAGATAATCAAAATTATATTCTTTCAAAATTAAATATTCTTAAAAAAAAGAGTAGTGAAGATCCTGCTAAAGTAATTGATGCTGATAAATTTATTAGAAGAATTAGACGTATTGTTGAAGGAATAGAAGATCCTAAAACAACAGAAAGATATTTAGAAGAAGAACGTAAAAGAAAAGAATTAGAAAAAGAATTAGAAAAAGAAAAAGAAGAAAAAGAAGAAAAAGCAAAAAAAGGAAAAGAACTTGGATGGACTGGACAAGCAATAAAAAAAAATCAAGAAGATAAAGCATCATTTTTATCAAAAGAAAAAGTTATTGAAATTAGATTTGATGATTATGATTCACTTATTCCTGTTCCAATATTATATGACATTATTAGAACTGCAATTGATCATAAAAGAACAATTAAAATTAAATTTTTATCTGCAAAAAAGAAATGGGATGGAATTGTTAATATGACTGTTCCATTAGATTTTCCTTCTTGTTTTGATTTCTTACAATTTACAAATTATACTTTAAAATCTATTGTTAGTGCTGAACAAGATAAAACTGATTTTATTCCTCAATGTGATATTGATAAAGAAGACCCTCAACTTAAACAAATTCTTAATCCTCCTTCTGAAATTAAACGTACAATGATTAGAAAAGTTGTTGGTTTAAATAAAAAATTTAAATCAAATCAAAGTACTATTAATGTTAATGAAAAGCTTCAAGTAATGACATTAATGTTAGCAGGTGAAGATAATGAACCAGATAAATTAAATGAACTTAATACTTTATTAAAAGATATGAATTAAGTAATTTTTTTTTTTTGTTTTATTTATTATTATTTATGTTTTACATGAAAAATAAAAATTAAATTATTAAAAAACACACAAAAAAAAACAATGGAAAATAGAAATGAATATTAATAATCTTCAACAACAACTTGACCAAATAGAAGAAACAATGAGTCAAATGTCTGAATGTATTATGTTATTTAAAAAAATGCATCATCAAGTAAATCAATCAATAGAAAGAATTAGAACTCAATTAGAAGAAATGAATAATAAAAAATTTCATCCATTAAGAGAATTATTACCATCAAATGGTATTGATGAATATACTCATACTCTTAGTAAATGGACAGAAAGATCTATTGGTAGAATATTATATGATGGTAAATTAGAAATTGATTCAGTAAAACAAGTTCTTCTTAATAAAAAGAATATATTAATAATAATTGGTTCAGGAAATAATGTTTTTGGTTCTTATCATGATAGAACAATTGGAATGAATGAATGGTGTTTTGACCTTAATCATTTTGTATTTACAATTAAAAATTTATTTAATATTCCACCAACAAAATATAAACGAATAATAAAAGAAAAAGTATTTTGTATTACTGATACATGTCTATATAAAATTAATGGATGGGGATGTATAGGAAAAGATTCATATATTGATTATCTTTTTCCTTCTCATTATAAAGATACTATTGGTATTGGTGCGAATATTTTCACTGGAAATATTTATTTAAATACATTTTCTGTTGATTATATTCTTGTTCTTGAAATGAGACAACAACATATTAATAACAATTAATACTATTCATAATAAACAATGAATTAATTTATTAATTTTATGCCCAATTACTAACATTAGACAATACTTTCTTTAATTCATCTTTTTGTTCTTGACTTAAATATGTTGGATTTTGAATATTAAAATGAACAATCAAATTACCATATTGTCCTGGGAATTTCCTTATTGGCATTCCTTTTCCATAAATTGTTTCTTTTGAATTGTTGGTAAGAATTTTATCAAATTTTTGTTTTATTGTTGTTCCATCTAAATGTGGAATTTCTATTTCACATCCTGTTAATGCTTGAAGTAATGTAATATTTTTTGTACAATGTAAATCATCTCCTTCACGTTTAAATACTGGATGTTCTTTTGTTTTAACTACAAATACAATATCAGCTGGAATAACACCTGGTTCTTCATCTCCATATCCTTCATATCTTAATTTCGTTCCATCTTTCCATCCTGGTTGAACATTAATTACAACTGTATTTGTCTTCTTTGTTGTAACTCCATTACTTGTTGTAATATTCTTTGTAATATTTCTTGTTTTTGTACATCCTTTATATAATTCTTCTAATGTTAAATTTAAATTTGCAATAACATCATCTGCTTTTACTGGTCGTTTTGGTTGACTATACCCATAATCATCATCATCCATACCAAATGAATGCATTCCTCCTGGCATTCCTCCAACATTAAATGAAAATCCTTTTGGCATTCCTCCTCTTTTTTTTCCTCCAAATGAACTTCCTCCAAAAAATTGTTCAAAAATATCCATTGGATCAACTCCTCCAAATGAAAATCCTCCTCCTGGGAATCCTCCTGCACCACCCATACCATTCTTTAATCCTTCTTCTCCATATCTATCATATATTTCTTTCTTTTTAGGATCTGAAAGTACAGAATATGCTTCTGCAATTTCTTTAAATTTTTCACTAGCTTCTTGTTGATTATTAATATTTCTATCAGGATGCCATTTTAATGCTAATTTCTTATAAGCTTTCTTCAATTCAGCATCACTACAATTTTTATCAACACCTAAGATTTGATAGTAATCTTTTCCCATCTTTTCTAAATGGAAATCTTCATTCATTCCTTCATTTTAATACGTTTTGATGACGTTGCATTAATGACGTACAAATGATGTGTAAATAATTCTTCTGTTTATTGTTTTTAAAATTTGTTATTTGTTATTTTTTAATACCAAAAAAAAAAAAACAAAAATAAAGTATTATTATTATTTTTGTTATATTTTTATGTTTTTTCTGAGAAAGAAATGAACTTAAAAAAAGAAATGATGAAAACATTTATTGAAGAATGGAAGATGAACATTAAAAAATACCAACCAATTAAACGAAAACCGAATGAATTTACCGTTTGTAAATAATGATTTAATACAATAACATTATTTAAATAGTTTAGATTATATCTCCAACTGTTAAGAAAGAATTTCCAGAAAAAGAATTATTTTTATTAAAATATTTAAATAAAGAAATGTTAACAAAAGAAGATATTAATACACTTTGTTCATTTTATGGATTTAATATACTTTCAGTTTGTTTATTTTATTCTTTTAATATGCAATATTTATTAAATAGAAAAAAGGATTATCATTTATTTATTTAATAAATTATACACCTTTTTCACCAAATAATAATATTAAACAAATTCTTCTTTCAAATACGATTCAAACAAATCAAGATGTATTAAATATTATTATTAATTTAAGTGAATATATTGAACAAGATATTAAAGTATTTACAATATTCCAAAGATGGATATTTGATGTATTTAATGAAAAAAGAATACTTTCAGGAGAAATACTTCATCAATTATTAATGATTTATTATAGTAAATATCCATTATTTAATAATTTTGAACAATTTCTTCAAATAAAAGGATTTAAAATGAATAAAGATCAATGGGTATGTTTATGTAATGCAGCTTCTTATATATTAGAATTTCATGAATATTATGAAATAAATACTTATTGTTTGTTGTATTTATTCTCACATTCATTTCATTTTATTTATTTCTTTTAGGGCCATTATTATTTGATGAATTTATAAACCAAATGAATCAATCTAAAATAACAAATTAAATAGTAGAATTTATTCCTTCTGAATTTTCTAAAGAAGAATGTTGATAAACAACAGTTTGTTCTTCAAGTTGTTGAGAGTCTTGATTTCTTTTAAATTTTCTATTAGAATAGAAATAAAATCCAATTAAACTAAATGTAACAATTAATAATAATAGAAGTGCAATACTATATAATAACGATATAAATACTATTTCATTAAAATAACTATATTCCATTATATTAATATTCATATATTCTTCTTTTGTTCTATTACTTTGATCAGTTCCTATTCTCACATATCCATATCCTTTCTTAGTATTAATAATTATTCCTTTAATATTTCCTTTTTCTGAATATTTTTGTTCATAACAAATATGAGTGTCTCCTCTTTCTTCAAAAACATGAATAAATGATGGTTCTGAATAACTTATACTAACTTTAATATTGTTATATTTCGTACTAATATTTAAATATCTTCCTATTCCCTCTGTTTTAGTACAATAATCACTTGACTTTTCATTTAATAGTAATTCAATCAATTTGTCTTCATTCACTTCAATTTGTGTCCAATTGATATCATCCCAATATGCATTTATATTTTTTACAATAATTAAAAGAATTAATAGAATCATTTCCTTTTAAAGTTTTTATTTTTTTAGTTCATTTTTGTATTATTTATCTTCTTTATTGCTTTTCATTTTATTATTTCTTGTTTTTAATTCTCATCTTTTCCAATGCAGGAAATACAACAAATTTTAATGCCATTGTTATGGAGTAAAGCCTTGACGTCTTATAAAGAAAAGCAAACAAGACATAGAAGTACAAGGTTAAATGTCAATAGCAATAAATGGCATAACAATAACAATAATAAAGGTAAACGATACACCAAGGAAAAAGGGTTTAGAAGACAAAAGACTCAAATAAAAACAAATAAGAAACAAAGTAAATACAATGACAATAAAGATTATACAAATAACAAATATAAATGAATAACAATAAATGATATACAAGAAAGATTAAAAAGAATAACAAGTGAATGGAATGAAGGAGAATACGAAGAAATACTAAAAAATATGAAGGTAAAAGGAAAAGATTGTATGATATTCTTCAAGAAGTATATTCAATTAAAAAGAAAAAGATAATTGAAAAAAACCAAAGAAGAGTTTAAAGAAAAAACAAAAGATTGGGAGGAAAAAGACATTAAGGCTATAGAAACAGAAATTAAAAACAAAAACCCAATTAAAGAAATGAATGATAGATGTAAAATTGCAAGAATAAATACGGTTTAATAACTTTTAACCTTTTGTTCAGGTGAGAATTTCTTCAAATCCTTCACTCTCCTGAGAGTCTTCTTCTGCTATTTCTACATTCCTGTATTCTCCAGAATGATCTCCACAATATCTCATAATATCTTTCATATTTGATATTATAATCTCTCTTGTCATTATTTCCCACGGTATTTCTATTCTTTCTGCTTTTAATAATCTAACTGTTTCTTTGTTTATTAATCAAATCACTGTTATTACTACTGGTATAACTATCACTCGTACTAATCTTTCTATTTTTCTTATATGTTCGTGTAGTTTTGAATATATATTAATCTTATCTGTAATTGCCTTACTTATGTTTTTATCTCTTACTATTCTCATATCTATAATCATTGCTTCTTTCTTATTTAAGTTTCTGACATAAATATCTGGTCTTTTATGGAATTTGCATTCTGTTTACTACTTCTTGATTCCAAACTATAAGTATTTTATCTTTCTCTATTCTTCTTTCATTCTTTCCTAATTCTTCTTTCCTTATTATTAATTTCTTTGTATTTTCTTCTTCTCTCTTCTTCATCTTTTCTTTGTTTTCATATAATTGGTATTTAATCTTTAATCTCCTCAATATATATTCTCCTATTCTATCATGTTTATTCATTTGTGTTTTCTTAGTGATTATATAATTCAAAAGAATATGATTTATTCTTGCTATCTTATTACACATTGGACATATTGTATATCTCATATCATGTTTCATTCATGCTTTCCTTACTCCTACACTTGTTACTTTCTCTTCCATCTTCTTTATTTGTATATATGCTTTTCTTATAACATTAATTCCTTTCCATACTTTAATTGTTTTATTTTGTTCAGTCATTTTATCCTCGAATCCTTTCAATACTTCACTACTTACTTTCTTGTTTCTCCATTTATTGATATATTCTTCTTGGAACTTCTCTTTCACATACTTAATTATTCTGTTTTTATCCCGTTTTCCTCTTTCTTCTTCTGTTACTATTTTTCTAAATTCTTCTTTGTTTATTCTTTTTCAACATGCTTTATACAATTTATTCCACATTCCATTCTTATTTTCATTTATTCATATCATGTCTCCTATTCTATCTCCTCTTTTCCATGTGTAATATAAAATACTTCTTATTAATTCAATTGCATATTCGTCTCTAATGCTTTTCATTCCATCTCCCATTTTATTTCTATTTACATATAATCTACTACTACACATTCCTGCTCCAATATTCTTTCTTTCACTTCTCTCCTTATCATTTTATCTATTTCAATCAGTTTCATTATATGCAATTTAACTACAGATGCATTATATGTGAACTTAGGAATTATTTCTGTATTTATTCTGTTAATATAATTCATACTACTGTCATTCAATTTATTTTTTTCTTTTATTCCTTCTTCTACACTTTTACTTATTCTTTCTATGCATCCCAAATCATCATTTCTTGTGAATTGATAAACACCTAAATACTTATATTGATGTTGTGTGTCTATTATTGGAATGTCTTTCATATTATCTTGTATTTCTATATTTCCTTTCTTCATTACTCCACTTTTATTTACATTAACTTCCATTCCTATTGCTTCTATTGTTTCTATTATATTTTTATGCACTATTTCCATTCCTTTCTTTGTTTCACTTGTTACTTTAATATCATCTATGTATAGTACACGTGTCACTTTTAGTCTTTTCTCATTTGTTTTATCAATAACATCAGAAATGATATTCATTTGTAATATGAATAGGAGTGGAGAAATGGAATCTCCTTGTAATATACCATTCTTTATTTTAACTTCTCTTATTTCTTCTTTATATCTATATCCTATTCTTATTCTCCATCTACTACTCATACTTTTTATTAATTCAGTTATTTGAAATGGTATTTTGAAGTATCTTAGTACAATTTCTAACCATTCATGATTAACTGTATCATATGCTTTTCTAATGTCATAGAATGATTCCAAATATCTTTTCTTCTGTACTTCTCTTTCATTTCTTTCTAATAAACTGGTGATACTTCTTTTGCTGCTAGACTTCTTTTCTTATTCCCATATTAACTCTTATTAATTTGGTATTTATATTCATTATTTGCTAGTTGTTCTTCTATCTTTCTCTTTATGATTGAAGTAAAGATTTTCATTATTACATTAAGACATGTTATTGGTATATAATTCTCTGCTTTTTGCTATCTCCTCCTTTGTGTATTAGAATAGTTCTTCCTGTTAGCATTTCTATTGGAATGTTTTTTGGAGTGTCTAACCATTCATTAAACACTCTAACTAATATGTCTCTAACACTCTCCAATCTTTTCCAGTAGTATCCTTGAATACTGTCAATCCCTGGTGCTTTCCATGATGGTATTCTTGTTATCACATTCTCTATGTCTTCTTTTGTGTTTATTATTCTTTTCAAATTCCTACTATTACTCTCTTCAATTATCTCTTTTATCCTTTCATTCTCTTTCTTTATTCTTTTTCCTCTGTTATATATTTTATTCAAAAACTCTTTTATATCTTCTTCACTTGGTTTTTCTTCTTCTTTTCCTATGTTGTTTCTTGTTTCTTTTCAGTATTACTCATGGTTTTGTTTCTGTAAATTCTTTCACTTTTGTTTATGTCTACTTCTTTTTTCTTCATTTCTTTTAAGTATTCTAATTGTTTTATTTCTTCATTTACTTCTCCCTTTATCTTTTCTTCTATCATTCTTCTTATTCTTAATACCCTTCTTAATTTTTTATAGTTTCCTCTTATTAGCATGTCTTTTAGTTTATTTATCATGCTTTGTATTACTACTCCATATTCTTTCTTAAATCCTATGAATTTGTTTTCTAAATACTTCTTTATTATGTATGTTATTCGGTAAATGTCTTCTTGTATCTCTTTAATACCTCCTTCTTTCCATTCCCATTTTTCATCAATATATCTTATTATCTCTTCACATATTTCTTTATTGAAATAATATCGGCAACGAAAAAAAGGAAATAATTGAAAAAGAAGAGAATGAATGATATAAAAGAATAAAAAGAAAGTAAGAAGTAGAATATGATGAAGAAAGAATAAAAGTAGAAAGGAGAGAATATAAAAATAAAGAAGATAAAGTGTAATAAAACAAAAGAGAAGATAAAAGAAGAAAAGAATGAAAAAATAAAGGATGCAAATTTTATTGAAACAAATAAAAAAGCGCAAAATTTAATGATGCAAAATATTTAGCAACATATTTTATTGATGCAAATTATTTTGAAATAAAAATAAATCATCATTTTATATTATTATATTTGATAATAAATTATATTATGTATTAAATACAACATATTTCTTTATTATTTATCTTTCTTTTTATTATTTCATATATTACATTATTATTCATTCATTTATTATTTATATTTCATTTATTAAATAAAATGAAAATGAAATTGTAAAATATCAATTAAATATTCATGAATAATAATTTATTAATATTTAATAATTGAAATAACAAATAATAAAGTAACAATAATGATATATTCAATATATTCTTTATTCAATTTATTCAATATTAGTTTATTCTATTTCATTATCATTTCATTATCTTCATTATTCTATTTCATTATTATTTTATTTCATTATTATTTCATTATTTCATATTCATTTATTATTTGTTTTAAAATAAAATAAACAATATTATTGA